AGGTCAAGGGTGAATGGATTGTGCATTAAAGTAAAGTTTGAACACAGATGCCATCTAGTCTTTGCAGTCTGAAGAATTCTTCTTTAAGTGAATAAATGTGTAAGGTAACTCCCCATTACCTTGATCAGCATCTAATACCAACCTGACACTTAGAATTAAATTAGAGAAACAAAATTGGATACTTTGAGACTTGAGGGCTGATTATACTGCTGGAGTGAAGAGTGGATTTAAACTCTCCTTATCCCACTTAAATCTAACTAGGTATAAACTCTCCATTACTGAGGAATAGAGGTGTGTCTGCAGAGGTGGAGGCTCCCCTTGATGTTCTTTGGACAAGGAAACCTAATCCTTTCTTCTGACACACATGGTTGCAATAGAAACCATTCCCCAACCGCCTGTCTGGTTTTAATCTATTCATTCTAGTAAAATGGGATTTGCAGGGAACATTAAGGAGAGAGCAAAATTATAAGAACTTACCGTAAAATAAAAGTGTTGATGAGGAATCAGATTTTAAACAAGTGTTCAAAATTGTAAGCATGAACACATGTAGACACATGGTGCATGCTGTAAGTATACACTATTAAAGTTTAAAATTTTTATATATAACATCTGCTTCAATATGACATTTATATCTTATTTTACTAAAGGTTTTTTTTTCTTTTCTTTTAGTTTTGTTGTTGATTTACTCAAATGTTAACAACAGTAAAACATAGTCAACCAACCCTGTTAGAGAGGGAGGCATTCCATAAATGAAATGTCTAGATCACTAAACATTCCTCTACGTAGTCAAACTGTTTTAACCATTTTGCATGGAAATGTTTCCAAAGTGTATAGTTTTTCTTTGAAAGATACAATGGATCACATCGCCTCTCCGAATGATCCAGGGCCACCATTGCTAAAAAGACTTATTAGAATAAGTTAAGTACTTTCAGAAATATTTGGGGGAGTGGTGAGCTTTTTTAGGATATGGGAGGGCTTCAGAAAGCTCATGGATTAGAGGAATTAGAAGATAATGGAAGATACTTTGCTGGACACCAAAAGGTTTCAGATTATATAGTTTGTCAAAACCAAATTTAAATTTAAAATAGGTGCCTACTCTGTGCAAAGCACTATGCTAGGTGCTGGAATAAAGAGGTATGCACGGCATCACATCCATCATACATGCCGTGAAACAGACATTGTGTGATTTGGACATTGAGGGAACAACATAGGGAAACCTAATGGGAGCTGCCTTCTGAGTGTCCTGGTCCCCACTGCTGCCACTGCTGCAGCTACTGAAGCCGCTAGCAGGGGCTGGAGAAGCAGGTGGCCACAGTGGCAGGGGCAGCCGAGCAGAGTGGATTGTTAGGAAGTGAGTGGGAATATTCTTTACTTCTGAAGAATAGAAGCCGCGCAGGTTCTCACAGCCTCTGTCACTGCCTCCCACCTGTCTGCAGTAAAAACCCTCAGAGCCGATGCCCAGATCAAGCACTTTGCCCTCAGCCTGTATCCACGTGTGATCCAGTGCTGCAAACATCTAGGACGGGGACTTTAAAACCATGAGGGAGAAATGATAGAGAAGTGCTTTCCCTTAAAAGCAAAACAAAAAACACTTTATAGAATTGCAGACATATATATGCAGTCTATGCAGCCAGATGCTGCCCAAATGAACAGTAAGCAAACCTGCCTCTATATGCAACATAAATTGTAGTCTTTACCAAGTCACCACATTGGTGGACAAGGCAATGTATTATTTTTTTCTAAATAAAGCTTCTGACCCACTATCATCAAATGCATTCTGATTCTTAGTGAAGCTCCATAGGGCTTCCAAAGCTACAATCTGTATGGAAACAGACTGCCTTGTCTTTCTCTCTCCGAGTGGCTCGCAGGTTGGAACTGCCAGGCTTTGACGGCTGTCACAAGGGTTCCTTAAAGCCTTAAGGTTTACAGATAATTTACAGATACTTCAGTGATTAAACTTGCGTTTCAACAGGAATAGGTCTTGGAAATATGAGGAGCCTTCACAGTTTGTGAAAGCAATGGAATTAAGATCACTTCCACATGAACTTTTGGACGCTCCCTTATATCAGCCACAAAATAGCAACAGCCATGCTTCCTGGCAGATACAAAGGTATGAAGTGCTTGAGGAACTAGTAGGTAAACCCTCTGACAGCTTTCTGCTGCACTACTGGCTCATGGCCAGGTTTACTGTAGAATCTGGGTGGCCGAGGATGTCAGAAGTCCAATCTGGCTAATTCCCTCTTGGTTCCTTGGAGGTTCCAGACTAAGAGGGACCAGGAAAAAAGGCCTATCCAAAAATCATGCAACCAAAACCTCGTACTCTGCACTCACCTAACAGAATGTTGCAAATGCCTAGGATCATATTAGCTGAAGAAAACTGTATTTTAATGATATGCTGGATATATCAATACTAAGTAAATAAAGTATTTAAAAACCTGCATTATTTGCAAGGATACCATATATCTTTATAAAGATAATGATCACTTCCCTTGGCTTCAGAAGTACTTTTACGTACATTTTTGGATCACTTTTATCCACAAACTCTCCCTGGAGCTCTCGAGCATTTCCGTGGTTTTGATTTGAGAGAATGGTGTCGGGGCCATCTCTGACCATCTCTCGCTACATGAAGAACGAGAATCCAACTCCACATCATTCCAAGGCAGGTTGCCACAAGCCTCCATGCTTGCTCCTTCTTGACTCTATTCTAACCCAGCAATCCCTCCCATGGCACTCAACTCTGGCTGGGTTCTACAATGGCCACACGGAACTCACAGACAATATTCATGATGCTGGGGATTTATTCGAAGATCCAACAGGTTACGGAATGGTAAGGACATAGTCCCTTTTCTCAGTCTTGCTGGCAGAAATGTTTCTCTAGTCTCTGGTCTGTGCCTTGTTCCATAGGCCAGGAAGCCCTCCCAGCCCTGCCTCATGGAATTAGCGCTGTTCCTTAGCTCCACTCATGGACTGAGTACTGCTCTTGAGCTCCGCCTCCCTGACTCAGAGCCAGCCTCTGGTGCCTCCACACTTCAGGCAGGGATCTATGCATGTACTACCCAGCGGCTCCTCTGGATGGTCATGAGATTTCTGTTCTGGCTTCTGAGATAGTTCACTCTTCAATACCCAATTGGAGTGGCAAAATTGACCAATTTCCAAGTTAGAAGAAGTCCTTCACATTCTATTTATAACTAGTCATGAGGTGCGAGTAATAAAGATTATGTATAGAAGTCATAATATGCAATTTCACTTCAGCACACAATTATCATCGGCTTTATAGTTTGGAGCTCTCTCCTGAGTCCCAGAACTATGTATCTAATGGGCATCACATTTTATAAGCACTTCAAATTTCAGAGTCAAAGCCAAACTGGTCAATCCAATTGAAAAACAAAATTTATTTCCTAAGATCTTCCCACCCAGCCCATCTTTACAATTCCTTCTCTACTCACTTCCAAATTATACTTGAGTATCACCAGCACTTTGTACCAAATCTTCAGAGATTTTATTGTATGATTTTATTATAATTTTTCCTCCTCTATTCAAATCTCCTAAGTTTCAATATATGTTCAATGGATAAACTCAACAAACACATTAAGACAACCTGATGAATTCTTCCAGTAATTTTTTCAGTATACATTCTTAACTATCTAGGAGTTTTGAAAGTTCACAGCAGCAAATCCGTATAGTAATGTTTCTTGCACCGGCATTTCTTTAACCGAGTTATGCCATCTTCTTCCCGGGGCTGGGTTGGAATACCACACGCCTATGTTCCTCTCCCTCCCAACTTGTTTCTGTCAGAGCACCTACAAACAATAGCATCTTTCATTGAATTTCTCCTTCAGTAGGTCATATACTGCTTGAAATGGGTCTAATTTTTATACCTGCAGTGCCTGGGTTAAAGAAACGTTTGCGCTCTTTTCCGTGGCGTCGCGGAGCTGTCGGCTGCTTCAGTATGAAGCTGAACATCTCCTTCCCAGCCACTGGCTGCCAGAAACTCATTGAAGTGGACGATGAACGCAAACTTC